ATTAATTCGACATCGCTGGCATTCCGAAGAGCCTCGCACTCTGCGGCAGAGCATAGAAGATCAAACTGTGGTACCAAACCCTCCGTATCGCGCAGAAGATTAAGCTCCGATGGAATCTCAAGTATACGGGAGGGACCTCCCGCTCTTACCACAGTACGGGTAAAGCCCTCCTCGAACATCTTGACATCGTCAGGATCAAGGTCGAAGTCCGATTCATAGTCGTCGACCACAACGCCCTTTCCCCACTCTGCGGCTGAAGAAGCTCAATTCGGTCTGGATGACGAATGCCCGCCCAAATCGCCAACAACGGCCTCGGAACCCCGACTTCCTATCGCAATAGCCCATTGATTTTTCCCAACGACCAAAGCCTTTACCATCGGGTTGGCCTCTGCCAACTGGTTCGCCTCTGCGGCCGAGATAGTGTCACCGCCAAGGGAAGGTCGCCCCCCGAAGAATCTTCGATAGAAGTGGCCACTTCGGATTCCACCCGTCGTCTCTTCGACGGACCCTCACCGCTATTAGCAAAGGAAGATTATTATGCATAAACCTTCAAAGCATCATCTTGGAGCAGCTAAAAGAATCTTGCGCTGTGTTGCTGGAACTATGGATTTTGGATTATGGTACTCTCGATGTTCTAGTTTTAATTTGTATGGCTTTTCGGATAGTGACTGGGCAGGATCTTTGGATGATAGGAAGAGTGTCTCTGGGAATTTTTTCACTTTTGGTCTGCAGCTATTACTTGGAGCTCAAAGAAACAAGCAACGACGTGTCATCTTCAGAGGTAGAAGTATGTTGCAGCAACGTCATCAGCATGTCAAGCATTATGGCTAAGGAAGATACTTGCAGATCTTTACCAAGAGCAAAAGGAAGCAACAAAAATCTTTTGTGACAATTTATCAGCAATTGCAATGACCAAAAATCCTGTATTTCATGGAAGGTCGAAGCACATAGACATTTGACATCATTTCATTCGTGAACTAGTTGCAAAGGGGCTGATTGGGTTGAAGCACTGCAGCACTGAAGAGCAAGCAGCAGACATTCTTACTAAAGCACTTCCTCCGGTAAAACACAATTACTTTATGTTATGCCATGGTGTATGTGATTTTGAATCAAGGGAGGGAGTGTTGGGAACTGATTCAAAAAACTCTTTTAAGTTTATTGGCTGGATGAAGTTATTTACTGTGAGTT